ATAGCAGCAGTGGAAGCCCAGCGATATTGGAGAGGCACTTCAATATTCTGAGCAAAAACATTTATTTGTTCAACTAGCATTCTATAAGCAACCAAAGTTTCAATTAAGTTGTGGATGGAATAAAGGCATTTGGCCTGGGATGAGCTCTAGGCCCGAGTCAAGTAGAAAGAAGGAGAAACAGTTCTGAATATAGGAATTACCCAAGAAAAACACGCAGGATGCAGGAAAAAAGGAACCTGGTACCAGATCAAAGGAGAGATAAATATGAGGATGGAGTTTGTGGAGAGGCCCAAGCAGCATCCAGCCCAGCCCGACTGGGCCAGCAGTCTGAAGCCTCCAGGATGGCTATAGCCAGGGTGGACTGAGTATCTAAATAAAACTTAGAGAGATGTAAACATTCTGTGAGAGATTTCAAGAAGAATTCAGGATAGGTATAGATAAACATAAGGAAAAAAATGGATTTATTGCTAATTCAAAGGAGACCGAATATTGTACCAGAAAAAAATGCCACCATGATAGCATAACAGCTCGCAGTCTATATTTGCATGGTTATACTAATTCAAATTCAGAATATTAATATAACCAATGTTTCTAAAGTCATTACACTGAAAAGACCAACAGAAGGGAAAGTGGAGGTGAAAGGGTGGGGCAGGGCTATAAGTGGATCAAGTCATCAACTTCCAGAACAGGCAATCAAAATAACGTATAAAATTGTAGAATAAGTACATATTTAGAAATATGGAAATAAATCCCAAGAGAAAAAGATAAAACAGGCTTGCAGGAATATTTAAAGGTGAGGAGTGAGTGAGTGAGTGAGTGAGTGAGTGAGTGAGAGTGTGTGTGTGTGTGTGTGTGTGTTGGAAAGCTAGGCGGGGGCAACGTTTTTCTGTATTTCATTATAAGTTTTGTAATACTTCTAGTGTCTATTAGAAATGTGACATATAACTTTTTTTCATGTATTACTTTGATAAACATTTAAAAAATCATTTGGAAAATATTCATGTTATTTTTAGTTGTTTTTTAATACCAGTTAAATTTTGGATAACAGAAGTCCCATACCTAACCATTGGTATAAACTTAGGTAATTTAATTCTAGTTTCTCTGNTGCAAAGCTAGGCGGGGGCAACGTTTTTCTGTATTTCATTATAAGTTTTGTAATACTTCTAGTGTCTATTAGAAATGTGACATATAACTTTTTTTCATGTATTACTTTGATAAACATTTAAAAAATCATTTGGAAAATATTCATGTTATTTTTAGTTGTTTTTTAATACCAGTTAAATTTTGGATAACAGAAGTCCCATACCTAACCATTGGTATAAACTTAGGTAATTTAATTCTAGTTTCTCTGCCTTTAGAATCCTGGAAATTTAACTGACATATGTAAAGTGCTACGGAGTATTCTATTTTTAAAAAAATTGATTTTAGAGAAAGTGAGAGAGAGACAGAGAGACAGAGAGAGAAATCCAGTGCCTCTGGAAGGCATCCTGATAGGGGATGGAACCCACAACCTAGGTATGTGCCCGGACCAGAAATGGAACCTACCACCTTTTAGTGTATAGGGTGATGATTCAGCCAACTGAGCCACACCAGCCAAGGCGGGAATATTCTTTATAAAGGCATCTAGACCCTCCCATAGATTTTATCGTCCATTTACACTATGATGCCTATTTATAATTTTTAGATTTGGTATCTCCTACTTAACTAGGATCGTATTTTATGGCCACCAAATATCAAAGAAGAACAAACAGAATAAATGATTCATGGAGTATGATATAGTAAAATTTTGAACATTAAGTTCCATTGATCAGGGCAGATCTTGAAAATATAAGTTATAATTTTCAAACTTAAAACCATCTAAGTCCAGAACTACTATTAGAGAATCATAATTCTTGCAGATGACTGTTATACTGGCAAAGACCCTTTATTTTTCTTGCCATTTATAAGTGAATCATATTTCTGAACAATTAAACATTATCAGTTACCTTTTCTGTATTATACATCGTAAAGCAAAGATAGGGGTTGCAAAGGACATTTACAAATGTTCTATAGCTACAGAGTCGTTTTAGTAGCCAGGTTTTTTATAGCAGAATTCCTGCTACATGAAAATGAAGTTGAGAGACTAGAGGGGGATAGTGTAACTACTTTTACTTTTCTAAACTTAGATCAGAGGTGATAATTCTAACAATGATAAAATATAAAGAGGTTTAACAGAAAACATGAGCTGGGTGCAAAACCACCAGAATAAAATAAGGAAGACTCCTGATCCAGAACATGCTGGTTGTTTTATTTTCTCTAAGACTGGGGAATAAGCTACAGAAGGGGTCTCTCGCGTGCAGTGCTTGTCACATCCTGGGTTTGGACCATCACTACTGTTTTTATCTTTTATTTCTGGGTTTGGATGCTGTTTTCTTATCAATAATGGAATTTTAGTTTTTCCCCCTCAATATAATATTATACTTATAACCTCTTAGGTCAGTTCTGACTAGTTTACACCATCAGATAAACGTTTCTCAGCTTCCCTAAATCAATTCTTCCCGAGGAACTGCCTCTAGACAAATTCAATCTCTTTGCTTTATAGCTATTTTCAAAATAATTTAGAAGCTCCCCTGTAACTCCTGACATGTTTAGGGATTCCTGGACTTCTCCTCATGTCTTTAGGTAGATATTTCATAGCACAATTGCATTTTGGTAAGTCTAATTGCTGGGGTAATGAGATTAAACACTTTCCGTTTCCTTCGGAAGGCAGTAAATACTGGTCATGCGACATTTCTGTGTTCCAAAGCTGTGGTACTTATGGAAAAAAAGAGCATGAGTGTTTCTTGAAATGGAATGGCTGTTCTTGTGGGTTTTCAATGCTAACGTTTAGTGACCACTAATTTTATATATTGCCAGACAAAACTGTATTTTATTCATTACAGAGTGAAACACATTTGGGGGCTCTCAGAGATGACTGCATGAAATGTAATGGAAAACTGATGCTTGTCTGAGCTCTGCAGGACAGAAATTTACGTGCATACTTTGAACGATTTTATTTTTGCTCTTCAATTCCTTTAACGAATGAGATTTCTCCGGGTTTTGCCATTTGGGACTTCAAGCTGCTTAGTATCCGCAAGGAGTATTAGCCGAGATTACTCGGTGCTCAGAGTGATTGAAAGAGAGAGGCCTGCACTCTGGTACATATTCATAAAGCGCACCCCGATGCTCTAATGTAATCAGAATAGGAGCAAGGCTCCTTTTTGCAGAGGACCTCCCTTTACACCATGGGGTGGCACTTCCCAAACTACCAAAGAAGTTTCTTTAGGGACTTATGCAGGATTCTGATGCTAACCTCAAGCGTGTTCTGAAATTATGGCCCAAAATAAGATACTGTCATATGCATAGAACCAGAAGATTCTTTTACTGGCACACAAAAAGTAATTTAAAAATCACAATAATCTCTTCTATGTGGAAAAGAAAATCACATAATATCTGCAATACTGAATTTTTAAATTAAGATACAGCTATTCACACACAAATATACTTAAATATATGTGTGCATATACATGTGTGTGTGTGCATGTGTGCGGTGTGTGTGTGCATATACATAATATATATCTCCATACAGAGATTTGAGTGGGACTTTGATGTCTTCTAAAGGAATTTTTCGTTTTCTAGTATCTTTAGAATGCTTGTTTCTCCCAGCTTTCTGTCATCTCATTTCTCTTTCAGTTTTCTACAGCTACCCTGCAGTATTTTTCTTACTTTTGTTTATTCAGCCATCTTTATGATACACAGCTTTCTCTTTCTTAATGCTTTCTCCACCGCTTCTCTGATACAGGTTTAAGAGGTTTTAACTGATTAAGTAAAGTACCCCAGCTAAAGAGTACTTTGGTTCTTAAAGCTGAAGAAACATAAATATCATAGCAAAATTATTTTTTTCTCTCTAATTTTGATTGTGTGTGTGCATGTATATATATATATATATATATANGAGAGATTTGAATGGGACTTTGATGTCTTCTAAAGGAATGTTTCATTTTCTAGTATCTTTAGAATCCTTGTTTCTCCCAGCTTTCTGTCATCTCATTTCTCTTTCAGTTTTCCACAGCTACCCTGCAGTATTTTTCTTATTTTTGTTTATTCAGCCATCTTTATGATACACAACTTTCTCTTTCTTAATGCTTTCTCCACTGCTTCTCTGATACAGGTTTACCAGGTTTTAACTGATTAAGTAAAGTACCCCAGCTAAAGAGTTCTTTGGTTCTTAAAGTTGAAGAAACATAAATATCATAGCAAAATTATTTTTCTCTCTCTAATTTTGATTGTGTGTGTGCATGTATATATACGTATATATATATATATATATACGNAAGTTAAAACTCCAAATACTTCTATTTGAAATTTTTAAAAGTAAGAAAAAACTAAAATGTCTTTGTATTACATTCTCTAACTTAAAAAACAAAACAAAAACATGAAACACACACAAAAACCTTACCCTTTGTCTTGCACATAATAAAAACTTGTTAAANAAACTCTAAATACCTCTATTTGAAATTTTTAAAAGTAGGGAAAACTAAAATGTCTTTGTATTACATTCTCTAACTTAAAAAACAAAACAAAAACATAAAACACACACAAAAGCCTTACCCTTTGTCTTGCACATAATAAAAACTTGTTAAATGCTTCATAGTAGAATAAGTGATAAACTTTAGATGTATAAAACATCTCAAATAAATTTTGAGAAAGAGCAATTGTTTACATTCCGATAAAAGGTAAACTCCTATAAATATATGAATAGAGTAGGTGAATTAACATTTTAAACGCCTTCTTTTTCTTCCCATCAAAGATTTCATCTGGGAGACAGAACAGGAAAACAACAATTCCAGTCTGTCACTGCTCAGCACAAGTCATAAAAAACTGTCCCTATATGGCTTGGTGTTCAGTACTAACAAAAAATTCTTAAAAACAAATGGAAAGTTGATATAAACAGCAATTTATAATTTAAAAGAGAGTTTTACCAAAGACAGTCAGCTCTGCTGGATCACTGTCTCTTTCTCCCACCATATTGGTGCCCACACAGGTATACATCCCTGCATCACTTTTTCTGGTATTGGAAATCATCAGTTTTCCACCACGGATCTGTAAAAATTTAAAAAAAAAGAAAGAAAGAAAAGAAAAAAGAAAATGAAAAAGAAAAGTCACTAATAAATAATTTTGAATANAAAAAAAAAAGAAAGAAAGAAAGAAAAGAAAAAAGAAAATGAAAAAGAAAAGTCACTAATAAATAATTTTGANTAAAAAAAAAGAAAGAAAGAAAAGAAAAAAGAAAATGAAAAAGAAAAGTCACTAATAAATAATTTTGAATATTTAAGCACAGCATTTGTATTTCCTGATGGAAATAGGTCAGTGTCTAGGACTCAGAACTCTCCCACTATTTTGACATTTGTATGTGTTCTTTCTTTTCTTAAATTCTCCCCCAATGTAAGCCTTCAGTTCCCTTTCTTTAGAATACTTCTATAAGGCAGCCCTCCTCTCCTGCCTGGTCTTATTTTGAGTCTTGTGTCTGCCCCCATTAAACACCAATGGTTGGTCTTCACTCTCTGATTTGGTTGGATGAATTAACACTGTCATCAGAAAAGATCACTAGATATCTTCCTTGGATAATGAAATGAAATCCATCCGACTCAGAAGGATTCCACAAGTATTTACTGAATACTTCTATGGGCTGGGCAGTTGTCTAGGCACTTGAGATTCAGTAGTAATCCAAATATAAAAATTTCTGCCTTCATGTAGGTTACAGTGCAGTTGTTTGTATTAATTGTCTTTGTCTTAACTTCATGTGATAATTTTTGAAGAGCAGAGCAGGTTGTATAAAAACAGATTAATTTTTTTGAATGATGACTATGAGTTGGTACAAATCATTGGTTTTTAATAGCTGCTCTCTCAATGTCTTACATCAGAAGCATTTATTGACTGAATAAACAAATGTAATAATGTTAAAATGTGTATTTGTCAAAGAGGACATTAAAGGAAAATTAGGTTTTCAGTAAGTGTACCATTAACTCATAGCTTCTTTTTCAATTTTCTTTTTTGTATTTACTTAATCCAATAATCTTCACTTCACAATGATTGAGTATTCTTAAAGAGATATGAGATAAGAAAATGCTCTTTCCTTTGTTAATTTTTAAATTCATAGGCAAATAAAACTCATGTAGTTATGTTCTCAGCAGAGATATTTCAGGCTCTAAAACTTGTCATGTCTTAGAAGGGAATTTCTTACTTTGTTTTCTTTTTACCTGGGAAGAAAAGACGTTCGACATGTTCTGAATTCCATACAGTAGAGTGTAATGAACTCTTAAGTTATAAAAATGACCATGGAGGCTTGGCCTTCTCCCCTGGAAGCCGAGCTTGGCAATATGACTTGATTTAATCAACGAAACTAAAGCAAGCTTTCACCAGAAGGAAGGTGCTTGCACATTGGGACTTGCCTTCTCTTGCTGCAGCTGGAACCCTGAGACCACCATGGGAACCAGCCTGAGTTAGCCTGCTGGACAATTAGAGGCTCTGAGGAGAGGGAAGATGCCCAGCTGAAAGCCAGTGAAGTTGTAAATTTATTCTAGATCATTCAGTTGTCAGCCACAGCAGCATGAAGAAGCCTAGCAAAGATTAGCCATGCTGGCCCAAGCCAAGAGCTATCAGCTTAGCCACAGAACCATAGTCTAAATAAAATGGTTATTATAGGCCACTGTGTTTTGAGGTGGTTTGTTACAAAGCAAAAGTAAATGACACAAACATGAGCTAGAAACCCTTGAACATTGATTGCATTCCATCACCAGGAGCACATTTTCATAACTTTGGTACCCAAGCATCGACCACTAGCAACCAAATTCTCAGGGCAGTGTAGATCCTCAGAATGAAAACAGTTCATGCCAGGATCACATGAACACACGTTGTGATCTCTTACATGGCCTCTCTGGTTCTTTGTTATGATTCCATCACATGTGCACACTGGAAAAAAATCCTCATTTATTAGAGAGTTTTAAAGATAATAGACACTTAGACTATATGAATTTTTGATAGAAATGGAACATTTTTTTCAGTTACATGAGATATTACTAATTTAAATATATTTATTCTCAATTATTGTACTGAATACAAAAAATTATACTAAGAATAATGTCAGATGGTTGAGGCATTATCTATTGTTTCAGGGGACTATTTTTCACAAACTTCACATACAAATGTTGAGCAGACTTCCTGAAAAAATAAAATAATTATATGCTATTCCTTTACCTACCTCTTTACCATTTTCTGGATGTTTTATTTTGAATATTAATAAACTGAGGCACCTGATTACCAATTTCCCTTGAAAACATACTATTTTTCTACAAGAGCTAAATTGCAGAACCAGCCAGTAATTTTTACTTTGTATCTCTAAATTTTTAAATGGATTCATGAATAAAAGTTTAGTTATAAATATTATCAATTTGGAAAAAATTGGAAAAGTGTTTGAGATATTTATCACCTCCAATTATTTCCTCTTATAATTTTTAAAATAGTGCAAAAAGAAATGTTCTAGTTAATATGGTTTATGGCCATCATTTACACTTTAACACTCACAAACTGCATGAGCAATAGATGCATCTGAAGACCTTAAAAAGAGCTGAGACTGCAATATTGAACAGCAAATATTCAAGTTGGTGAATTCTTAATCTGTTATGTACACTTGATTTATATAATTTTTCTCTTTGAAACCTCATTCCAAAGTTATTGTTCTTGGTTTCCCCTTTTTCAGTCCTTTCAATACACTATAAAAGGTAGTTAGGATTCAAATGCAGTTCGACAATTTTATTCACTCTAAATAAAATGAGAAAATACATCAGTTTTAAGACTTGAGATTCAGTCTCTCTAGGCATTCATTTTAATTTCACTCACACTTATTCTTTCCTCCTTGTCATCAATTCGAACTTTGTCTTTTTTCCAGTAGATGGTGGGCTCCGGGTGTCCCCGAGGAGGCTGGCACTCCAGGATCGCAGGCTCTCCAGCTGCCACCACAACATCTGTGGGATTTTGCCGGAAGTCATCTCGTAACACTGGAGAAAAACAATTGTAGTAAAAGAAAACTCAATGAAAGTCACTTTAACTCTTTCTCTTATAAAAGGTAACTTCAAGTCTTATTTACTTTGTTCTAAAAAAAATTGCCAGAACATTTACTGAGAGCATAGCCATGCCCAACTTAAAATATTCTACAGCCTCCCGGCTAGCGTGGCTCAGGGGTTGAGCATCGACCTAGGATCCAGGAGATCGAGGTTCAATTCCCGGTCAGGGCACTTGCCCAGGTTTTGGGCTCGATCCCCAGTTGGGGGCGTGCAGAGGGCAGCCGATCAATGACTCTCTCATCATTGATGTTTCTGTCTCTCTCTCCCTCTTCCTTCCTCTCTCTGAAATCAATAAAAATGTATTTAAAAAAATATTCTAGAGCCAACCTAAATGTTCATCAACAAGAAAATGGTTAACTGTGAAAATGTACCTTCGCTATAAAATCTTATTTAAAAACAAGGTAAGTCTAAGGAAAATAAAATGAGAAATGCTCATGATATAGTTCATAAATAATTATATTATCCATAATAAAGCTCAAAGTACAAAACTTTATGTAGTATGATCCTATCTTCTATTTTAAAAGTACACATACATATATGTATATAAACACATTAAAATAAATTGTCAAATTATACTGAAAAGCCTGAAACAAGTCATGTGCACGTGGCCTGTGAGCACGAAGGCCTGTCTGCCTGGGAGGGGAAGCGGGTGGAGATCTCTGAGAAGGCCTTTCCCCGGGACAGGAACGTGGACAAGATCCCCACTGCTGTCCCTGTCCTTCCGAACACAGACTCATCATGCAGCGCCCCGGCACCCACACACAGGGCTGCATTTTCATCCTCTCTGCGTCTCCACCTGCAGAGCGACATCTGGGCAGCGTGGCATTGGGAGCAGAGATGCCCCTTGCAGCAGTCTGCCATCTGAATGTCACCCCTTCCGTGAGAACAGCAGGCTGGGCCTGCGCTGTAACCTCCGAAAATCCGGCACGCCTGGCTCTCCAAAGGTCACCTCTCTATCTATCTGTGTGCCCTTCCTTCCACTGGGGACATGAAAAGCCCGGAGAAAGAACTTGGCCCTATCAGATGGCAGAGCGCTGAGTTCATTTAGCAAATAAGGGCAAACATTCAAAAAAGTAGTTGAGACCAGCAAATACGTCACATACCTCCACCGCCTCTGTTTCTCCTAACTCGCTTAACTTTTTTTCTGTTCTTTAATATTCCAGCACTGACAAGTGTGTTTCCTAAGTGTGTCTATGGGTAAAACAGAAACACATACACTCACACACGTGTGTGTATATGTATATGTAGCATACATGCCTATACACACATATTATACACACACATACACACACACACACACATATATACGTGTGTGTATATATATATATATTGGCCAAGCTATATGAAGTCAAAATTAAGCAGTTTGCGCTAGCCCGTTACATAAATCACCTGCTGTAAATGTGGATTTGGCAAAACCCACTGCCTTTGGTGTCCTGTAAGGAGACCCACTTCAGCCTCTGATTCTTTCTTGGGCCAAGTCTCTCCGTTAATTGTCACTTTCCAAATAAATAGAAATCCCCTGTCCTGAAAATAGCTCGAGAGAGAGAACTGAGTGACTTTTAGGGCTTTTCTTCTCTCGTCTCCTGCAAAACCTCCCCTAACTTGGTTTTCCATCTTAATGAAGTCGGGGCCCTTCAGGAGATTAGAGAAGCTTGTCTCCTACTGAAGGCGCAGTGAGAAAGAAATCAGCACAAATTGCTCACTCTCGGTTTATAAGCTGATTAATTTACTGCTTTGGCTGCTGAGGAAATGTGTTCCATTCTAGCACGGTGAACTGTGCATTTTTTTGGTTTTCTTGTCTGACTGGCAGGGAAGGTGTGATTTATTTGCGTAAGGATTTGCCTCTGAATGAGCTGAGAAGTGTGCGTTTCAGTGTGACATTCGGGGCAGGGGGCTGAGAAGGGGTTTGTGGTTCCTTCTTGCAGGTAAATCCTCCTGGGAGAGCAAGCTGGTGACTCATTTATATTCTAAATACAGAACAGCTGCCTATTTATGCGATGTTAAGACGTGCGAAAATATGGTAACAAGGTGGTGAGCACCCCTACAATATCCGGTGCTGGCAGCAAATGGTGTTTTGGCAGGCCCTCAATCTGTTCCAAAATGACACATCGGGCCAGTTGAAGGACCTTCTCCAGAGCTGGACTCCTAACAATTGACAGGCCAAAAAGCCTCTACTCAAACGGTACTTAAGACCATCACCGGGCATTCAGAAACACGGTGCTACATCAATTTGCAACGTGACAAAGTAAGGGGGGAAAGGGTCCTTTGACGTGGGAGACGAAAAAGAGAAAAATGCCATAACAAACTAAGGACCCCTCCTCTTAGACAATGCACCGTGTGTTTACGGCATTCACACAAAAAGAAAATGACTCCGTTTTGCCAGTGAAGCCAAGAAATCTAACATCAACTGTAATTTTAGGCTTTTCGACTATTCACCCAGAGAGTGGGGAGAGAGAATACGATAATTGGTACTGTACCCTCTTCAACTGGTAAAAGGCTCTTGGGGGCTTGCATAGTGTTCAGTTAATTCGTTTTTTGTTCAGTGATATCATTTCTTTTACCTGAAGGCTTTGGGATAGCAAAATGTGTCTCTTCTCTCTTTCTCTCAAGTAAAGCATTCGAGAGAAAAGCTCCTTCTCGCAGGTTCTATCACAGCAAACAGAGAACTTGCTCTCAGGGCAAAGTCAAGTCATTTTTACACTTCTCAAATTTTTACGGACCTATGTGTTCTGATATTTGCTTATATGTTTCTGAGGTTTGCATATCCATTCATAAACGTAAGCAATTAAAATGAAATTGCGTTTATTGTTTTCAAATTTTGAGTTAATTTTTGATTCTGTCCTGGATTTTGCAGGTAATGAGGAACAGGAGGTGTTCTCTATAGTAAAGGATTCAAGTATGTTGGATGAAAGAAATGAAATGGTTTTGTAAATGTAGAAAGGCAGAGCAAGTCCAAATGGAGTCTATATATTTTTTTTCTCTTTAAGTTCCCATTCTAGAAAGAACTGAAAGCCACATCTTTAATGCGGCTTGACAAGTAAGCTAATGCAAGAGCATATCAGAATATAGGCCTTCCCTAAAGTTACAAACAGGTCTTTAAATAAGGTGAAGAGAAATAAAGCTGATGAATTGAAAAACAGATGGTCAACATGACAAAAGCTGAGAGGGTATCAGTAAGTTATATTTTAAAGAAAAAAATATACTAGGCACACTATTGCTATAGTATTTGCTTACAGATCTAAGTTTATAATACAAAAATTCAAATCTCCCTGGGTAAAAAAAACACCTTAATTGACTAAAACTCAAGTATTTACTTCTGTATATGAGCTAAAACACATAAATGAGAATTCGCCCAGCTAGGCATAACCTGGATTAGGTTAAATTCTTTTCACATTGACATGCACTGTGACTTAGGAAGTTATTCTGGGAGATCGGGCATTTTTGAATGACTAGTGTGTTTGATAAAATGTAGGTTATATTTACAGCACAAAGGTTTATAGCAAATCAATTCAATTCTGCAGAAACATATTGAACACTACGATGTGCTTGGCACTGTCCTATAAAATGATTAAGGAATATCAAGCCAGAACGATGTGTCACCATGGCAGGCTTTTTTGCTAATGCTCCTCAATGGTCACCCCCTCGCTTGTCTGATCCCCTCCTCTTTACTGGGGCTGGACCTCATGACCTGCCTTTAATGAACAGGATATTGCAAAGTAATTATAGGTCACTTCCAATATTAAGATATAAGAGGTTGCAACTTTCATCTTCTCATCTCTCTGTCTTTCTGTCTCTCTCTGTCCCTCTCTCTCTACCAATGTGCTTCCTCTGATCATGTGAGATGCCTTGTTGCTCAATAAGGAGGCACAATTGGCAGTGATCAGAAAGAAGTTTCCGGTCAACAGCAAGCAAGGAACTGAGGCCTTTGGTCCACCTCAAGAACCCAAATCCTGACAACAACTACATACGTACGTTTGGGAGTAGAAACTCCCCAGCTGAGCCTTCGCATAAGACCACAGCCTGACCCTCTTCTTTACTGCAGCTTTGTGAGAGATCCCACAGCACAACACCAAGCTAACCATATCTGGGTTCCTGACCACAAACAGTTCGAGAATAAACGTGAGCTGTTTTAAGCCCCTACGTTCATGGTAATTTGTTACACAGCAATAGGTCTCTAATTAGTGACCTAAAGGAGCTTCATGTCTAGTTGTGCCTTTAGAGTTTATATCTTTAATTCTTGCTTCCTCACAATCCCACATTCTTTCACTCACCAGGCCTTCTGTTCTAAATCAATACTTCTCAGGAATTATTTTTTTACTTCAAAAAATAAAGGTAAGGCAAATCATTACTCAGACATATCCATCTTAGTTTATCAAAAGAAATTAGCAATAACAATAAGATGAGACTGCATAATTAATAAGCTTTTGAAAGATAAATTTATAAATTACAAGGTACACATGCTTGCAAGGTGTTATTAAAAATGAAGAGCTTAACAATATTATTGAGAAAAGTATTCACACACACCATTGGATAGAGAAAACTATCCACAGCACACTCAATGGATCATGAGATGGTTTCTAAAAAGGAATTGTAATTAAAAACATGATTAGCCACAGCCACTCAGAGCAACTCTGAGCACTAACTAGTCTTCTATGCTGGCAGGATCTCTCTATATATGTGCACTGAGCTCTCAGAGGGGTGTGGTCCGGGACTCCTCAGCAGAAAAACGACCACTAGTCCTAAGTGATGCTTATATGGTGCACGTTTTTATTTCTGAACACAAAATTTGAGCAAATCTTGACACTTAGAGGGATACTGAGAAGCTTTTAGCCATGCATGTAGATAACATAGGAAATTACACTGGTTTCAATAAGATTTTTTCCATGCTTTTTTGGATCAGTTGGCAAGCACACCCAACGACACGTTTGATCTCC